GAACGACTCTGGCGAAATCGTGGGCATGGTCGACGTCCTCAAACTCACTTACGCAACTCTTGAGCAGATTAACACTATGGGCTCGGGCGACAGCGAGGGTCCTGCGTGGAACAAGTTCTGGCTATCGCTCGACAACGAGACCGAGTCCGTACTCAGTGGCGACGGCAGCCATCACCCCCACCCTATGAATTCGCGCTCTCACATGTCGCCTGACATGGGTCGCGACAGGATCGGCGACTCGCTCGCGCCCGGGGACAGCGCTTCTCACGTTGGAGAGGGATCAATCATGGAGCCTCTCACCCCAGACATGCCACTTGCAGACATGCCCTTTGCCTTCAAGTTCAAGGCTCCCAGTGGTCGTGTGCACCGTTTTCAGGTCATCGCCAGCCACGGCATCGAGGAGTTTGTCGAGAGCGTGTCCGCAAAGCTGGGCAAGGAGGCCGATACCATTGGTGGGCCACCGACCGTCGATGATGGCAAATTGAGCGTCAGCGGGTTTGCCATGAGCTACTTGGACGATGAGGGCGATTCCGTCTCAATTACGACCGACCAAGACCTGCTCGAGGCGATCGTACTTGCCAGGCATAGCCATCACGAAAAAGTTGACCTGTTTGTCCATGACCCATCTCAGCCTCCTGTCACTGTTGCGGCGCCTCAACCGGACCATGGACGTCACACTCCATCGGGGAGCATCGCGACCTCGGGTGCCCGGCGTCGTCGTGGTGTTGTCGATGAGTCAGAAGATTCCGATAGCGACGACGATGACGAAATCAGCACCACGAGACGCCGCAGGAGAGGCAACCACCGCTCTGAGCCAGAGCAGGTCATTGCCGGTGTTCCCAATGAGCTGCTCCTGCCCGGTGCGGTAGCAGCGCTTGCCGTGGTCATCATCGGCGTCTTCAGCATCTCGAGGTTGACAAGCAGCAACCGGTAGGATCTGGCCATCCGTAGAGAGCCCGATGTCAAAGCCAATGATTTAGCAAGCTTGTTATTTTAGTATTAGCACACGCCCTGATGAGACCACGGACAAAGGCAGATATCCGACTGTAGAAATGCTACACGTAGCGATCAAGTACATATATTAATTATACCTGAATCGTGGCCGTTGATGCCAGCCAAACTTTCTGTGCGCATTGCAATTGTTGTCTTCCCGGTGTCTTCATGTGCACATTTATGCAAGCCATATTTGTGCTGTGACGATGTGGGGTAATACTGCTCCACCAAGGTAAGTGGCATGTCATCCTAATTGGCCGCTGGAGATCTATGGTGCATGCCGCATTTCGAGAAAAGTCGCGACAACCTCAATTGCTTCGGCCCCTCTAGAGCCAGGCCACCCTCGAGTTTCTTCGAGGGCCAGCATTCGACACAGCTCAGGATATACAGTCCTGCATATAAAAGCTATGATAATTAGAGAGATGGGAGTCCGCCAAGGTAAGTCATGCACCTATGCGACTGCTCAGTTGTATGCCTTCATGGCGGTCACTGACCTTCTCCTGCCACACGAACAGCGCGGAGAGCACTGGCTGCTCCATTACGACAGGCCACTTCCCAGGTGAACACGTCGCGATGTGTGCGCGCCCTTTCGACTGAGACGACGAGTACGCCATCCGAGACCAGCACAACGGCATCGCAGCCACCCTCGCTCTTCATACGGACGGCGAAGCCCTACAACCGGAACAAGAAATCGAACGTGCCTGACAACACGGCTGCCGAATTCCGCAAGGCTCAAAACCTGAAGAGCTACATTGGCAAAGTCGGAGCCATCACTGAGAGGACGTACCACCCCGACGACATATTCCGCAACCCGCCCGGTCCAGCCGACATCAGCCTTGAGCTGCTCATGGCCGCCCAGGTGCACATGGGCCACAACACGTCGCTATGGAACCCGGCCAACGCACGATACATCTTGGGTATTCGCGAGGGCATCCACATCATCAGCCTCGAACAGACGGCCGCTCACCTGCGCCGTGCCGCCAGCATCGTGGACGGCGTGGCGTATGCCGGTGGCAACATCCTCTTCGTCGGCAACCGCCGAGGCCAGACCCGTATGGTTGTTCAGGCCGCGCGCATGGCCAAGGGTTTTCACCTCTTTACAAAGTGGCCCGCGGGCGCCATCACCAACAGCGACGTCCTCTTGCACGGCCTGCCCATCATGATGGTCGACGAGCACGACCAGCCCATCGACTCGCTCAACTACCACCGCATGGAGACGCAGCCCATCAAGCCTGACCTCGTCGTCTGCCTCAATCCGCTCGAGAACTACGTCCTCCTCCACGAGTGTGCCCTCGCCAACATCCCGACCATTGGTGTCATTGACACCAACGCCGAGCCTACCTGGGTCACCTATCCGATTCCTGCCAACGATGACAGGTGAGTTCTTGTGCCATTGCTCTAATACATCTCGGGACGAGTACTGTTCTGTAATGTGTCTCTTCGTCCACCAGCTGACTTTCTCCCACAGTCTCCGTGCGGTAGGCACGATCGCCAGCATTCTCGGCCGCGCCGGCGAGGAAGGCAATAAACGCCGCCTGGCGGCCGCCAAAACTGGCCACGTTACATGGCAGACACCTGGCCCCGTGCTGGGCTACATCAAGAAGGAGAACAAGCGGGCAGCCGAGCTTGCCGAGAAGAGGGCCACCCAGGCCGAGCTTCTGAATGAGGCCGCTGCGATGGGCTCCTTGACATCGGCGGCTTTCTCTCCCAACAGTAGCGCCGCGACATCCGAGTCGACGGCCACGACCAGAACCGCACGGGCGAAGGGAGGGCAGGAGCATGGTTTCGTCGACCCTACGAGCGAGGCGAGCGTCCGCCAGCAGAAGCTGATGGAGAAGGAGGTCGATGAGACGACGGCTGAGGTACGACAGAAAAACGAAGGCAGTGGCAAGAATGAGTCCTCATGAAAAGCGGACCTGCTGCGGTCTGATATTTGACTATGCTATGTACTATACTAAATAAAGGGGCAGCGAGGAGTCTTCTGTATGATCCGCATACGGCACCATGGGCCTTGATAGAGCGCTGCCGAGGTTTCATAGTTTAGGTGTGGAAAGGGGGCCAAGTAACAGGAGAGGGATGCGAAACGGAATGTACTATCATGTCTATTTATCCTTGTCTAACGCTCTATGGCACAGAGACTTGTAGAAATATTTCCACGGAAGAAGTATTTGCTATACTACATGCGATTAGTATTACTTGTCTCCGATGTTCCAGCGAGTCGCCGCCATCGTTCAACAGACATTTTCGAAATGTCTTGAGAGATATAGTCAGAATCATGGTGCAAACTCTGGACAAGGCTCTAGGGCTTCCGTGGTCATAAATGCCTTGCTCGTATGCAACTGCCTTACGAAGAAAAGCGATGTGCTACCCTTTTGCTAGATCGTGGCTAGTCAAAACCAAGCTCGATAAACATGTGTCTAGGGAATGACTGTGAATAAGCGCAAAATATTGCCATGTTGACATCCCTTGTGTTCAAACATTACTTGAGGTTCCAGCAAGCCAGCGTTGACGATTTGACAACATGAGATGTGTCAAAACTTCGCACATAGTGTCTAATCCCCAGGTGTAATGCTTCCCTACTTCCTCAAGGCTCCTAGTGAAATCTCGCTTTAATGTTGTCACCTTGGCAACAATTCGGACGACCAGCCATGCTCATAGAATATCACCACGGCAACTAGCAGGGCAATATCTTGCACCAGTCCCGAGAGTAATCGAGCGCGATTATTGGTCCCCAACCTCACCTCACCATCACTAGTATCCTAAGGTTCTGCACCCATTCGCCTCTCCTCCCACGCAGAACTACCACTTGAGCTTAATCCCCTCTGCTCAAATAGCCTTTTGCCGCCTCCGCCCTTAAGCATACCAACGAAGACCTCAGCCAACCTTCCGATTAGGCACGACTCCTCCAGGGCCAAGCAATCTCGCCATGTCTGCTAACAACACTTCCATGTGAGTTTCCATCAGACACCATGTCCCAAGAAGACCAGGCCAAAATCTCAAGTCTGCAAAAAATGAAACCACCGCCTTTCTAACCACAATACTCATTTTCTATCCAGATCTCCCCCCGAGGGCGTCACCATCCTCGAGAACGGCTTCTGGTGGACGTGTCCTGGCTTGCTCACCCCGTTCGAGGCCATTCTCCAGGAGTCCGTGTTAGACAACTACCGCCAGCTGCGCACCCTCCAGGCAGAGATTGACGAGCAGCGCGTCATCATCAATCAGTTGGTGGAGCGGATCGCTGCGTCGGAAACCGCCGGTGCCTATGCTGCCCAGCAGAAGCGCAAGCGGATGGCCGCCACCAGGAGCAAGAGCTGCAAAGCTCCCGAGGCGTAGAAGTTTGGGGAAAGCTGAGGGACGGGAGGTTCGACTCGGTTTGAGACCTGAGGGCTTCGGATCATGTGACTGCGCTGAGCAAGATGTTTCCTGTGACAAGGTTGACGTCAGCCGTCTGGCTGGTGAAGGGAATGCTTGGGAATAGAGTCACGACGAATGCACGAGTTCACTAAGATAGCAAATGAACATCAGATCACGGAAAGTGACCATATCGTGCTTCTATTATCCACTACCTAGCACGACAACCGCGCGGCCAGAGGTCTCATTGGCGCCGCTCGATTTGCTGATAGAAACCTGTGGCTAGGGCATGTAACCCAGGTCGGCTCTACTAAGCTTTCTCAGACCGTGGAAGTTATATATCCAGGCACAAAAACAGGGTCCTAAGTGAATCTCGCAGGTCATTTCGTGGGCTCCTATTATTTTCGTCCAAGCTTATCTGGTAGAAATGCATAATACAGCCCTCGGTATTACCCGATGCAGCTTCCTCGTCGGGAGTGCCAATGTACATTCCGCATCTTGACATTGAAAACCAAAAAAAATATAGTTACCATTCATACAGCGATTTGCATGTCTAGGCGTTCAAATGCCACAGAGGCCCCCCCAAAAAAGACTCAAGACAAAAAATTTAATAAAAAAGAATCCGAACATCTTAGATGTTTGCTGTGCTATATCAGCGACGCGAGCAGGATTTGAACCTTTTGTTGGGTTAGCTGTTTGGTTCTTGACCTGCAGGTTGAGTCCAAGACGAAGTGTGCCTTACCTGCGCTCCCGAAGGAAATAGATTTCTAGTCTATCGCATTAGACCACTCTGCCATCGCGCCAGAGTTCGTTGTTAAAGAATCGACTCTTATGCACAAACATATAATGTACGCACGCACGGAAGCCTGTACCCATTTGCACGAGGCCTGTTTCTCGCTGCCACCGTTCTACACCCAACACAAGACAAGGGGAAGCCAAGAAAGCAGTGTCCACAAGTGGGCATGGCCTGAGCCAACAAAATACATGTACAAATCAGCCACCGAGAACCACAGTCAGAAGGGAAGCCCCCACGGCAAGCTACGGCCTGTCTATACGGAAATGCGATGGAAACCCCGGTGCTCATGAAAGAAAAGAAAAACGTGCATTTAACTTAAGGACGGCTAGCAGAAAGATCGCCGTGAAAAACCGACCCCACTGCAGGTTCGCGGGTCTCTAGAGCTAGTTTTTTGCCACTGCCGATAACCCAAAGCTCCGCGACGCCGACGACATACTCATGAACCTGCCAGCCTTGTTCCACAAAAAGTCTAGACCTCTCCGGGGAGATCGTTTTCCCTAGATTAGCACCTGGCGTCGGCTACATGCCCATGAATGCCTAGACCGCGTCGACCGCCTACTGAAGGTGTCCAAGAGTTGTTAGGATCTAACAAGACACTAAATGCTATACCGTTGTGCGCCCCTCTGTATGACTTCAGTCTTGGTAGTTGCGCCTGATGGTGTCAAGGTATTTCGTGGCAAGCCACCAGATTCGGGTTGAAAACACCAAAGCCACGGTGCCAATGAGAGCGTCGGTATGACTGCCTGCCAAGTTGGCCCTGCTCTCGGCCTGATTGTGTGTCTTCTTTCACTGCGAAGCACCATGGAATGCCAGGGGAATGACTAGCCCCGGGGTCGAACGCATCCGGAGCCATCGCCGGGCGCAGAGAAAGGACTCCTGAGAGAAAAGTGCCTGACCTGTGCAAGTGCCGCTAACAGAGCCACTGTAAGGCCATCTTGAATGTACCCTAGTCATGACCGCCCTCAACCATTTAGCTCTTGCTTTTGTCTCTCGCCACAGGTACGCAAGCACTAGCACAAATCTCGTACGTACCCTCTCATTGGCCGCATGGGGTATTTGGTAGTCACGGATCTTTCAGCTCCCGACAGCTCAGGTCGCTGATCACAATTTTTTGGCGGATAGTGGTGTTGACTCCAAAGAATACGTAGACTCTATTATTATAGGAGTATACATGGTATGAAACTAGCTGTAAAGCTAGCCAGGAGGTCCTTTGCTGAACAAGCTTTGCCGATGCCAGTGTGGAATAGTAGGTGGTGGTCTTGAGGGACGGCTTCGCTGGCCAGAGTGTGACCCAACAGCCTCTATCGTTGTGGGATGTGAAATTTTGTTGAGCAGAACCGGCCATTGTATGAGGTAGCACATCACAGTAATGAACGTAGACATGCAGGCTTGGCGAGCACATTGACCAGATCTAGAAGATCCCTGCTTGGCCTCGGTGATCGTTCCAAGCAGGAGAGATGCGATGCTATCATTTGACCTTGGCCGCTTCATAGTTGTCTGAATTCCGGGCAAGGCGGGCGGTCTGCGGGGAGCTGAGCCTGGGATGGGGACTGGGATGGGAATGCTAGCTGGACCGGGGAGGGCGCCGCAGCCTAAGGTTGTTTGTTGCACGACTGCGCATGCGCATGTGGCTTTCACATCGGGATTGGCATATTGCTCGAAGCAGTATGCTGACCCCCACGGCGGCAAAACGTGGCGGTTGCGTGCGGTATCAAGGCGATTGTGCGACTCGGCCGTTGAGAAGGATGGGACGCAAGAGTTATGAGTACGGAGCACCTGGAGTGGAAAATCCCAGCCCAGGGCCGGCCCCAAAGCCTGGCACAGCAAATGTCTTGACCGGCGTCGATCAGGACCCCCTCTGGTCCTTACCCCAACAACCAGCATGCATCGGCCCAGTGACTAGTTATGTGCTGTCGACGGTGGAAAGTCGCTTTGCTTTTTGATGCGACCTGACATTCCCTACCTGACTGCCAGTAAATCTGCAGCCATGAGACAAATAGGAACCGACTCGGGCAGCGGCCAACACGTGGTTCCTACGTGATGCACCACGACATGGATAACATCCATTGGGGTGACAAAAGCTGAACCTGTGCAAGCCCAAAACCGCATCGTTCTGGTTTCTGACGCCGTGCGTTCCCACGTCTTTGCGGGATCAGGCAGCCGAGAGCGAGATTGCCATTGCAGTTCACCACCAGCTGAGCTGTTGCTGACCGGATATGCGGCTTTTGCGACAGCCATATGCGAAGGTGGGCACGGTGTTTCTGAGCAGGGGCCGATCCCGAATTAAAAAATGTCGCCAAGGCGCTTTGCCACACACTGCTGTACCGAGACCAGGCGGATCTCCGCATGATCGTGCAGTAGACGAAGTACGACGAAAATCAAACCCTAATTAGTATGGCCTCGTCGAAGTATATCTTTTGAGTCTGTTTGACAGAGGTTCTCCGTCAGCTGCACCAGGCACTATCCACCTAGCGTGAGGCTATCTGGGCGATATCCCAGTTGGCACAATCATGTCCTGCGGGCCTTGATGCCTTTTGAAAAGCACGGCATCGTTTTAGTGGTAACATCTAAAGTGGCTATTCGGTTTGCCGAAAACGGTGCCAGCTGTGACGCCGAATAGGCGCAACTAGCACACAGGCTCGATACTGATTCAGAGGGTTCACACTCGTCAAGGTCTGGGGAATTTGGTCCGCTTTAGGACTTTATAGCTAGGTTGGGTAGGGCCCGAAATAGGCAGACAGGCCCAGTAGGTAATAAACCACAAAAGCTTGGGTCGGAAGGGCACAACTTAACGGCGTGATTGACTGGTGCAGTTATCTTCCGTTATGCAAACACAAGCCTTTCCCGGAAGTCGAACATCCTTGTGCACGAGGTGAGGTGATGGCGAAAGGTTCCTGCAGGGCAAGAAGAGGATTCCGTGGACACTCTGAGTCGAAGTGAGTTTAGAAATCTAACGATGCGTCCAGGAAATTCCAATGTTGTCTGTAAGACACCCGGGAATGATAAGAACTCCCTCCAACGTCCTAGCGGTAGGGCTGCCAAAGTAGCGTAATTAGTCGAAGAGCTAACGTAACGCAGAGCACAAGGCCACATGCGTCATGACTATGGGCAAGGACGGCGCACCAGGCGCATCGCACAATTGACTATGGACCGTTACTGTGTGCGCGTGATTCATATCCCGGGCTCGATCCTCAATTTAGGCGGGTTAAGTGCTTGGAAAGGAGAGAGGTTGCTGGTGGGGTCGAATGCTAGTGAGGGCTAGGTGGTTGGGACACGAGCAGTCGAGCTGTGGGTTTTATTGATATATGACTCTTACAACCCGCATTGCCGATCGGCGACAGGTGTTTGTCAGATTGGAGACGAAGCCTATGCACACGTCTTCGTTTTAACTTTGATAGTTTACGGTGCAGTTTTTCTGCCCGAGATGGCACAGGTCTTGGTGTTGACAGACTGGCGTTGTGCTGCCGGATCACGATGCGGCCGGCAAAGTTTGGAGGCGCGGGCGTTTGGAGATGCTTCATGAGCCGTGTCTCACTGGCGGCAAGAGAGAGCTGGAGACTCAAGGCCGAGGAGCGGACGGCATGCCACCTCCACTGAAGAGCTGGCCTGGCCACCGGGAGTAGCTGTACGCTGTACTGCGTGATGGATGGGGACCCTCCGGCTGCGGCTGGTTCGAGGAAGCCCCGACGAACATTGAAGGTTGTCTTCGCAGGCAGGGTGCGGGTGAGGCGCCGCCCCTGGTCAGTTGCAAGTGGCAGCCTGCAGGAATGTGACACCCTCAGTGACCTCGGGAGCCTCGCCGTCGCTGCTGGGCACTCACCTGCATGTCTGGTCCCGGCTGAGGTCGCCCGGATCGTGCCTTCCTCCGGGCAGGGAGGGACCTGGCAGCATTTAACAGATACCTCAGATGTCCATTCACGCCAACGTTAGTGAGGGTAGCCGACGCTTCGACTCAAGTGTCAGCAGAATCACGACTGTTCTGCGCTGCACTGCACGCACTGCACTGCACTGCACTGCATCGCTTGGAGGTTCGCGCAAGATCCAAAATGCAACCAGTTTCCAGATGCCTGGCCGGACGTCTGGCTCGTCGCGACACCGCCGCATCACGTCACCCTCCCCGCGGGCCCTTTGCCTACCTGGGCGCACCCGAATCCTGGCCCAGCGCTACTCCGCGGGCGTACTAAACGACTTCCAGGGGGACTTCGCTGGAAACGACTGGCTCGGCGGTCTGCTGAATACGGCACAGCGGTTTGACACAATACTGTACGGCACGATCTCTGGTTAGCCTGCTTGCAAGCGGGTCTTAGGCCAAGAGACAACCCAGGCCTTGATGAGAGACACATGCCCCGGGCCATCAACGCAAGCCAAGCAAGGTTCGGTCGCCCCCCTCCCCCTGGTACCGGCACTCTGCACTGCTGCATACTCTGTACGAAGTACTGTACAGCACACTCCGTATTTCTCCCTCCTGCTCATCCTCGGCCCTACCAGTACCGTGCTGGCTTGGAAAACCCTCGCCCGACAGAGCCCACCGCGCCCCCGATTCGCCTGCCCAGTTCTGAACCTATCCTAGCTTTCTCGCCTGCAGGCCCCCAGGTCCCCCAATTGCACCCTCCGGCCTCTCCTCTCCGCCCCCAGAAAGACCTGTCTTTCGTCTCGGTCTTCAACATACAGCATCCCGTCCCCACGATCCAGGCGCTCAGCCACAGCAGACACGACATAGTAGCAGACGAAAATGACGTCTTGCTGAGAGAGCAGCACCCACAAACGCCTCAGACAGTCCCCGAAAACAAGTTGCAACTCCGCACGCACTCTGAAGCGACAATCATCAACCATCGACAACGAGCGGACGGCCTTTCTACCGACGCCTCAACATTGAGACTTTCCCGACTCCCAGGCCTTTCCGTCTCGAACACAACAAGGTTTCGAGACGGAGTCGCTGCAATCACTGCAAGCAAAACTTGCGACTGCGAATTTAGCCTATTCCTAATCGACTGGTCGAAGAGCGCT